GAAATCAACTGGGGGGAGTCTCCCCTCCCGGGCAGCACCATATCCTTGTGCCAGTAGAAGCTTCCCTAGTTGAATTTTGCTAAGCGTCAGCCTGCTCTTCACAGCACAAGAGCAGGGTCAGGGAACAAAGATGGCGGCCCAGTTTGGAGTGGATGCCTTGAGCTCCACCTCCCAGAGAAATCCTCTCTGGACACATTCTTAGAGGTGAGTGGGGTTAAGGGTGAGCCCCAAATGTATCACTTGGAGCCCCAAATCCCTGGATAGCCCTGCCCCACCTGCTGCTGTGCCCAGACTCTTCCAGAAAAATAGGTCCAGGGGCCACAAGGATTTCTGTGGCTTTGAGTCCCCACGGATGAGCCACCTGCAGGCCCCCCTGTGCTTCACCTCCCGATGTCCCACCTCCCTGGAGGATTTCTGCCTGGGGGTCTACAGCCCTCCCACAATCAAATTCATTTATTTATTGTTTATTCATTCATTTAGAAAATGCGTAGGCCGTCCATCACCATCATCTCTGGCCAGCTTACATTATTTCAAATCCTAAATAAAACAAATTAAGCCTGAAATACCCTGAAACATCTCTTTTTGCCAACAGGATTGTCCTTGAGAGATAAACTCTTCCCAGAGGATCTTGGCTATGGAACGCCTCTCTCCATCCATCCCTTCCCAGTCACTAGGATCTGCAGTGGGGGCCTTCTCCAACGAAGTGGGGGCAGGAATGGCTAGAAGAGCCTTCCATGGGGAGGGAGGGTGTTTCCTCAGGGTGATCGCTCCCTCCCCAAGAAAGCGCGCCCGGTGCCGTCACTGCTCCCTTTCCAGCTCCAGGTAAAGATGCTCTTATGTAAGAGCTGTTTTAGTTGCTAATGGTTTTTAACATTGTTTTAATTTCTTCTGCTGTGCGCTTGTGATTCCCTTGCCGATTGCCCAGCTCTGTACCATTTTAATGGATTTTGTGCTTTTAACTGTGGGTCTTTTTGTTTTTGCTGGTGCCTTTTTGTAAACTGCTCAGAGAGCCCTCTGGGCTATGGGGCAGCATATAAATACAGTAAACTAACTAACTAACTAACTAACTAACTAACTAATAGGGTCCTTTAAAGACACACAGTCAGGCCTCAGACCGTATGCACCTTAGCAGAAGCAAAGTCACGTGCTTTTTCTTTCCAGTACCTGGCCCTACCCCGGAAGGGAGACTCAGAGAGGCCCCTGCCCAGTCACAGTCGGGGGTCTGGGGTAGGCGAGCCCTCGTTCTGATCCAGCAAAGCCCCTCTTCCATGAACTTGATCTGCATCCCTGCTGCTCCATTAGCTTCCCTCCAAGAAGTCCAGATTTCCTTCCTCCAGCTGTATGTGGTGCTTCGGAAAGTTTTTCTTGAGAGTCTGCATAATCCAGCATGCAGCATCTTTGCTCTGCTGAGCGGCGTGAGATGTTCTTGTTCCCCAAGGACACACGGCAGGCTTCACTGGTCCCAGAATGCAAAGCTGTGGGGCTGGCCAGGCCCCCCATGGCCTTCCCTGACGCGTGCCACCTTCGGTGAGTTGCCTTCTCCTGGTGCCTTCAGCAGAGGGCACCGTTCTCTCATGCTGCCAAGTCTTTCCCAACTTAGGGGAGTCCCGCTCAAGTCCTGCCCGCTCGACACGGTGCTTCCCTTTATGGGGTCAAGCCATCTCATATTTGGCCTTCTTCTCTTGCTGTCAACTTTCCGTAGCAGGATCGTCTTCTCTGGGGAGACTTGCTTTCTCACAACATGCCCGATGCATGACATCATTGGCTATTTGAGCTTCCAGTTCTGCTTTGATTTGATCTAGCATCCCCTTGTTCATCTTTCTGTTAGCTCCCCTCCAGCACCATGCCTGAATGCATCCATTTTGCTCTTGTCTATTCTCTTTACTGTCCAACTTTCACACACACACACATTATGACCAAGAATGCAACACTGTGGATAACAAGTTCTAAGTTTAAGACCTGGATATCTAAAGGAACATCTCCATCCATATAAGCCTACCCAGACCCTAAGGTCTTCACTGGAGGTCCTGCTTTGGGAGCCACCTTTAAAGGATGCTAGGTAGGCAGCTACCCAGGGTAGGGCCTTTTCAGTGGTGGCACCACATTTGTGGAATCAGCTCCCCAGAGATGTGCACCAGGCACCTTCCTTGGCAACATACAGGTATGTGAGGGGGTGTCACACGGAGGTGGGTAGAGACCTGTTCTCCCCTGCAGAGGAAGGCAGGACACACTCCAATGGAGCCAAGCTCAGGGAGCCAAGGTTCAAGTTGGATGCCAGGAAGCACTTCCTGACAGTCAGGACCCCGAGGGTGTGGAATGGGCTTCCATGGGAGGTGGCTGAGGCCCCATCAGTGCGGGTGTTCAAGGATAGGCTGGATGTCCACATGGTGGGCATGTCATGAGCGGAGTGGGCTGGAGCCGGGGGTCAGACTAGATGGCCCGGGAGACCCTTCTGACTTGCTCTGTTTCTATGTTTCTATGTTTGTACACATTTCAGCACCCGGCAAAGACTTTTAAATTTTTGGAGTATTTTAATGTTGAATAATAGCCTTAATTCTAATTTTTAATTCTAATTTTAGGTTGGTATTTTAATTGAAGCATTTAAAAATTTGAATCATTATTTTAATATAAGATGTTGTTGTCCCATCTGGTTATTGTATAAAATCAACGCAGTGGGTACTCCTACCAACAGAATGGATGTTTCACTGGCATTGATGCTTTATTTACTGAATTTCTTAATGTTGTTGGATTTTTATGTTTCGTTTGATGGTTTTTGATTGCCGCAAACCATCCAGAAAGCCATGTGGCTATTGCAACAGTCCTGAAAGCTTGCAATAAAATCATAAATAAATAGGGGTGTGGAAAACACACGACCAGAATTGATTCTGGTAGGATTGCTGGAGTATCACTAGCAAGGAATCACATTCATTCATTCATTCATTCATTGATTTATATCCTGCCTTTTTCCTACAAAGGCAGCTTACATCTTTCTCCTCCTCCATCTTATCCCCACAACAACAACCCTGTGAGGTAGGTTGTGCTGAGAGTCTGAGACTGGCCCAAAGCCACCCAGTTGGCTCCATGGCCGAGCGGGGACTCGAACCCAGAACTCCTGAGTCCCAGTCCCCTGCTCTTCACCATGACACCACACTGGCTCTCGTGGCTTTCGCATCCTGAAAAAGGGAAAACCAAGGGCTCGTTTCCTCTTGCAGCTTTTAAAGAAGTGACTGTACCACCACAAGCTCAGAGCTGGTGCTGAGGCAAAGCATGGCTTGGCATCAGCCAAGGGTCCGAACCCTTCAGGGGCTACCACCACAAACCCCCCAGGACCTGCTTGTCCATTCTGCTCCCCCCTTGTCCCAAGCCCAAATGCAAGGCTTGTCCCCATAATTCACGTCAGTGATAATTCATTTCAATGCCAGACACTTTGGGGATTGCATTGGAAAGGCAGGATAAATGTCAAAAGGAAATAGAAGAAATTGAATGAATTAGTTGAATTTCTGGGATGTGTGTGTTTTTTAATGGCTATTAATTCCACGTCGTGTGCCAAAGAGCACTGCCGGAAATTGCTATTGGATTTTTTTTAATTACTCCCAAAGAAAATGTTTCAGAAACAGAAAGGCAGGAAGGTAGGTAAGGCTGAATCATGCAGTTTCGCAATATCAAGTCAAGACCGGTATCAAGGGCAAGCATGCTTGGGCAGCTGCCAGGGCCCACACTCCAGCTGGGCCCCTCTGACAAGAGCCCCAGGAACTGGTCCTCCTCTTTGCTACTGCGACCTACAAATGCACCTGCTTCCTGCTCTGACCCACACGGAGCTGGAGCACAAGGAGCAGCGGGTGCCTCTTTCCTTCTCGCAGGTTCTCTAGCTGCCAAGCTAGCAAGTGGGCATAATGGTGAAGAAAGAGGAGTAATTGTCGCCAGCAACAATGCTGGGAAGAAGAAAAACTTGGCAAGGGCTGGAACTCATCGAAGGTGCTTTGCCTGTCATTGGTACAGCCCATTCAGAATGCAGAGCTAATTAACCGTTCCAGAGGCACCAGACAGCTCCAGATGCAAACAGGGGTCACAAGAGGACGGAATGTTATTCAGCAGCCATGTGGAGCCAAAAACATTTCCTTCTAACCCATATTTCTTTTGTACAAAAAGACTAGCATGTTCAGGATGTTCTGTAGCAGTAGTGGTTTCATTCTATTGGAAACCTGGTCTGCTCTTTTATATACCTGGCTGTATAGCCAGGGGCTCTCTGATTACGACTCAGTAAATTTAGCCAGATCCTTCACTTTCGGGACTTGCAGCCCTGATTCAGCAACTTCTGCCAGCAATGATCACATGTGCCTCAATCGAAATGCTCATTTGCAACATTCAGCCGGCGCAGTTGCATCAGATTCTTCGCACTTAGTAACCCATATCTAGCCCAGTATGGAAGCAGGAATGTTCCCAGTCCTTCTTGGAGGTGTCCAGGATTGAACCAGGGGATCCACTGCATGCAAACCGTGCCTCTTCCGCCAAGCTACAGCCCCTTCCCCTTGTGCAGAGCTATTCTCTGGCTCAGGCAAGCATAAAGATCCATACTGCCGATCCTGCAAAGCCAATGTACTCATTATATCACACGCCTTCCTGTGCATGCAAACAAGAGTACGAACATGTTGCCTTAGAAAGACTTGACTCAATCTGCAAAATCAAAGCCTGCAGCATGGGCCTCCCTCGTTTTTGGTGTTTCTCCAAAGGCTGGGTGGAAAAGATGCCAGGGCTCCTACCTGTCCATCCACCTGCGAGAACCCTTCCTTCTGCTCAACTATTAAAGAGCAAGAGTCCCATTTCCTTTTGAACCCCCCCATCCTGTTAAGCCAAGAGCACTAAAAAAATGGCTAGCCGACCAACCCAATCTGTATCTACATGGAACTAAGTCCCGTTGAGTTCCACAGGGCTTACTTCCAGGAAAATGGGTATAGGATTGCAGCCTATATGTCTTTGGAAGAATAAGGAGAGCGTTTTACCTAGGCCCAAGAAGCTGAAGACCCACTGGATAACCGAAGCAGTCTGAAGCCGCCGCTCCAGCGGGAGTGAGCGAGGAGCAAATTCAATCTTCATGGTGGAGCCAGTGCACCGTGAAGGCTTCAGACCAAAAGGTGCTTCCAGTCCCCGTGCAGAAAGCCCAGGAGGAGCAAAGTCTCAGCCTCTGTTGACACAGTATTAAAGGACTCTGCAGGGAGCAATTAGCGGCGAAGCTGCTCTGGCGTGGAGGAAGCCCGTCCCACTTCGGCCAGGCTGCCGTGGAGGTGTGTGTGACGAGGGGACTTTGATTTGAGAGGTGCTGCCAAGTAATTGACCCAACCAGCCAGGTGAGGATTGGGCGTGTCTGTGAGTATGGAGCTCTCTTCTCTCCTCTCCTCTCCTCTTCTGCAGAGCCAGCCCTGCCACAAGGCAATGGAGGCAACTGCCTCGGGCAGCAGATGCTGCGGGGCAGCTTCCCAGTTGCTCCTCCCGAACCGCCAGGTGGGTCCCCTCTGCCTGAGGACTGAGCTGTGCATGGCACGACCTCTCCTGGGCCCCCTAAACCCACTTGCTGTGGGGCGGAGGACGCTGCCCCATGACCAGCGTGCCGAAGAAAGATTCGACCGCCACGCGACGCAGCAAGTGGGGGGCCATCTTGTCGTCTGTCATGGGCCGTGAAGCATCTTCCCCTTGCTTCTGTCTAGCTATGCACCATATGCATCTCAGCACAGGCCCGGCAACTGATTGGAGAGCCCACCCCAGGAACTGCCCCTGTTGTAACCCCCTCATAATCGAACATGCAGCCAGGGCATGGCTCGTCACGGGTAAAAGAAAGCATGATCAGGGTGTCCTGTTCGCGTGAACAAGAACAGGAACCCCAACGAATGTGCACGCTATGCAAGGATGAAAACAAAGCAGGCTACGCTCAAGCATAACCGCCAACGTCACGCCCTTGTAGCCTCGCTTGCTTCCCTTAGCATGGGAAAAGTGCAGAATGTGCAAATGTAGCTCAGTGGGGAACCCCATTGTCCGCTGTTATTCAAGCACCTGCATAGCTGTAAAAGAGTATAAAACAGCTGCATTCGTCTGCTCGGGACCACACTCCTATGAGTGCTTGGTCCCTGCAGGTAAATAAATCTCTCTCGATAATTCCAACCAGTCTCTGGTCTCGTTTGTAAAATCGCGCCATACAACAGCCCCCTCCTGGTAGTTCACGTGGTCCTGGGAGGATGCCGCCCACGGTCCCGAGCGTGCAGAAGAGGGTTGCAGGGCTGGGCTGGGACAATCCTCTGCGGTGATGCCCCTTGCTCTTCAAGGCTCAGGGAGCAACTCACTCAGGGACCACCCAGGGAGCAGCCACAAGCCACAGGCTCCGTGCCCTCTGGCCGGGAGACTCTCCGGCTAATCGTTGCATAAGCTTTGGCAAAGCAAAAGCAGGCAGTGAAGAAAGCTGCCTGGAAGAACATGGATGCATTCAAAACACAGTGCTGGAGTTTCGCAAATACCCCCGACCGACGGAAAGGCAAACGGGGGGACCCAAGGCCAAATCGATCCAGGACTCCCTTCCCGAAAGCAAAATGGTGCAACTCGCGCTGTCGTGCTTCAGCACATCGTGAGAAGGCAAGACTCGCTGGAGAAGACCATCGCACCAGGGAGAGTCGGAGGCCGAAGACGGGAACGTCCAGCTAGGAGATGGGTGGGCTCCATCCAGGCAGCCACAGCCTTGAGCCTGCGGGAGCTGAGCAGGGCTGTCCAGGATGGGGCATCTGGGTTCATTTCCATGGTCACTGTCAGTCAGAGGTGACTTGACTGCACATCCCAGCAGCACAACATTAAAGTTTAGTGCACAGCATTAGTCTTAAAGTAGCCAGAAGCCTCTCCAATGGCTTTACTTGTTTTAGATATACATAAATGATTTTCTTGGGAAGGGAAGGGGAGGGGAGGGGAGGGGAGGGAATTAAGGGTACACTTGAATAGGTAATAGGGGAATGTGAGAAGCCTGTTCAGCAAGCCTGCATCACAACAGTGTGTGCGTAGAGAAGGGATCCATGACAGCCTTGTTGGAGAGATGTTGCACTCGGTTCTGCTTGCGCTGGCACAGCCTCGCCCTGGCCTCCCCATGCATCGAGGTAGGGAACAGGCGGCCCCACGGATATCGCTGGATTGCAATGGCCATCAGCCCCAGCCAGCAGAGATGATGGGGGCTGCAATCCAACAACTTTCATAGGGCCACGTGCTCCTCGCCCTTGCTGTATGCAGTGTGCCACCACAGGCCTTCTTGCCTGGAAGTAAATTCTGTTAGGCTCAATGCACTTCCTTTTGAGTTAACACACTCAGGAACAGAATGGGGACCTCTTCTAGGAGGAGGTGGGACTCCGAAGGCTTTCAAAGGCTCGGTCCTTTCTGCTTGATTGTTCACAGAGACTCTTGTGCTCCTGACCGAAGCCCAGACGATCCGTGAGGCTCTCATTGTAGGGCTGTGCGCAAATGTGTCCTGGATGCACCTTATTTGTGGGCAGAATTTGGGGCAGAGGGAGGAGTAATTCCTCTTCCAGAGGGAGGAGTAATTCTCCAACAGGGTCCGACAGACAGAATTCACCACTGGCTCCGGTCGCAGCATAAACGTCTTTGTTTTCGAGCTTGCCACATTGCTGCAATTCCTCTGCGCATGCTTCTTCCTTCTGTGAAGAGCATAAGAAAGGTGCTGGATCAGACCAAGGCCACACGTGGTCCAGCAACCAGCTGCCCGCACGAAATCCACAAGGGGGATGTGAGCACAACTCCTTCCTGGCTCTCGTGCAGCGTTCTGTTCATACGGCCTGGAAAGAATCTGACCTCAAGTGCCTGATCCTGCCTAATCTTGGAAGCTAAGAAGGGTCAGGCCTGGGCAGAAGTGGGATGGGTGACTTGAGTGTATGATTCTATGATTATTGCTGTCAACTGCCTAGAGAGCTTTGGCTATGGGCAGTATAAAAATGTAATAATAATAATAATAATAACAACAACAACAATAATAACAACAACACCAGCCCCCCCGCCCATGCATCAGCACCTTCCTGCCACGTTCCCCAGCAAACGGTGTCCATAGCCATACGGCCTTTGAGACTGGAGGGAGTGCTATGCATCTCCCTCCAGTCCTTTTTATTTAAACGTCATTGAAGACCTTTTTGTTTAAATGTCCTTTTAATTGTTAACAACATTTACTTATTTATCTGGCCAGGGCGACTTCTTTTCTTTTCTTTTATAACTTTTCCTTTATAACTTCTTTTATATCGTTTATATTTTTATTTATTTTATATTATTAATATTAATTTTATATTGTTATTTTTATATTGTATTGTATTTTATTATGCTGTAAGCCGCCCCGAGGCTTCGGCAAGGGGCGGCATAGAAATGTTCTAATCATCATCATCATCATCATCATCATCATCATCATCATCATCTGTGGTGCACCTCCTCACTGCCTTTGAGTCCCCCAGCCTGCATGCACTGCCCAACGTGGAAAGGCCACTTACTTATTTATTTAAAACATTTCTATTCCGCCCCATTCACCGAAGCCTCGGGGCGGTTCACAACATAAAATTAAAATATAATACATTCAAAATATAAAGCAAATTAACAATATAAAATAAGTCGCCCTGGCCAGATAAAATGAGCAAATAATATTAACAATTAAAATGACGCTTAAATAAAAAGGTCTTCGCCTGGCGCCGAAAAACAAATAACGACAGTGCCAGGCGGACCTCTCTGGGGAGCGCATTCCATAGATTGGGCGCCACCGCAGAGAAAGCCCTCCTCCGAGTACCTACCCTCCTAATTTCCTTCACGGAGGGTTCCAGGAGAAGAGCCTCTCCCGCAGATCTCAAGGGGTGGCTGGGCATATATGGATGTAAGTGCTCCTTTGGGTAACCAGGACCCATGAGCCAGTGAGGAGTAACGGCTGAGAGCACTGGCCTGGGAGTCAGGAGAGCCAGGTTCTAGTCCCCGCTCGGCCATGGAGCTCACTGGGAGACTGGGGGCCAGGCACTGATTCTCAGCCCAACCTACCTCACAGGGTTGTTGTTGTGGGGATAAGATGGAGAGGAAGAGAACCTTAACCGCCACTTTCGGTTCCTTGCAAGAGGAAGGAAGGAAGGAAGAAAGACAGGTGGAGTAGAAAAGCAACGGAATGGAACAATGTTGATGCCTCTCCTGGGCTCACTGAGGAGTAAGGGATGATTGTACAACCAAAGACTTGTGCTCACTCTTCAGCACCTCATAAGCAAGCGAAGTGCACGACCTCCAAACCTAAGCTAGGAAAATTTCCTTGAAATGTTCTTCTCCTTTGTATTTCTTTTTGAAAGCAATTTCTTCTTGGCCAGATTGAATGAGCACAGTAATACTATTTTCCCTTAATACAGAAGGAGCAAGTACCAAGAGGGCTTTTGTTAGTCAGCAGACATAAGTGTCTCTTGTATTGGCAGACAACACGAGGCGAAAAAGACTCGCACGAAACGCATTCCCCAGCAAATGTGGCTTTGTTCAGCTGTAGGAAACTGTAAGGCAGACAGCGAAACAATCCTGTTACGGCAGTGCTGGGTGGGAGATTACGAGAGTGGTAGTCCAGCTGGAGGGCAGCAGGTTGCAGAAACAGAGAAGCAGAGCGAGTCGGAAGGGTCTCCCAGGCCATCTAGTCTGACCCCCGGCTCCAGCCGGCTCCACTCACGACATGCCCACCATGTGCATGTCCAGCCTGTCCTCGAACACCCGCACCGATGGGGCCTCAGCCACCTCCCGGGGAAGCCCATTCCACACCCTCGGGGTCCCGACTGTCAGGAAGTGCTTCCTGGCATCCGAATGGAGCCTTGGCTCCCTGAGCTTTGCTGTGGGAGAACTGTGGGCGGAGGTGGGAGTCCTCCCTTGCTCCACCCATATTGCCAACATTCAACAGGTCTTGAGAGGCACCTTGATTTACAGCGACCTGCTTCGATTTCACCTCTGCCACGCATCAGAGCTGTGCTGGTGACTTCGCACAGCTCTGGCGCTATGAAAAGGCACAGTGGCAGAGTCTGGTTCTGGCCCTGTGGCCACCAAACACCAGCTGACAAGGAAACGGC